CACACACTCTCCGAGAACGAGGATGACCTGCGGCGGGGAGTGCGGCAGGCTCGCGGGGACAGTCCATGGGTGGGCAGCGTCGATGGTGGAGAAGGGGTCGAGGGGCAGGCGGGGGCGGAATCTGTCCGACGGAGGGCGGGCCATGGCCTGGGGTTGCAGGGGGGGAGGTGCAGGGAGGAAAAGAAACGCAAAACGCGGTGCAAGAAAAAGACTGCTGGCCGGTGTCGTCATTGACGCAAGGCACAACCGCCCGTCACCCCGGCCCGTCCTCTCGGCACCGCTTCCCGATCTCTGCTCGCCATCCTGGCATTTCTCCCAGAGCGGCCGCTCACCCGACCCACTCTCCGTTCCACCGCTCAACTCGTCCGGTCCAGCTCACTGGGCAACGCCCGTCCACTCGCCGCATACCCCCGCCCGGCCTGCCGCACATCCTCTCAGGCTGCTGCGCAGTCAACTCTGCGTCCACACTCTGGGCCTCACATATCATTCAAGACGCTAAATGCTATTATCCCTTGGCTCTTCCCCTTGCCTTCCACTTCCCCTCTGCCTTCTGCCTGCCTATCACGCTTCCCTCCTATCGCCCCTCACTCTATTCTCGTCCACCCCATGACGCCGCCTCGTCTGATCGCGCAGCGCGCCAGGAGCTTCCAAATATTATTAAATCCTGTCTGCTGTCCGATTGCACGCCCTTCCTTCTCTCTGACGCACGCTCTTCTCTTCACGGCGCGTCCTTTGGCTCAACTCAAGGTCATCTCACTTCCATTGTGCGCGTAGCAGTAGCCGAGCCCTCCATCGTCACGCTCAGCTGGAGCTGCAGTCGGGTTCCTCAGCTCCGCATCCACATGCCGTTAGGTCATTCATCCACCTCAGGCTACCATTCATCACCCGGTCATTGGACACCCTGTTCGAAGCCTTCGAGCGTGCATCCTTGTCTGTCCGCAGCCGCCATCTATCTCGCTCTGCTTGTCTCTGCATACCTGCAGCTGCTCACCCCACTTTTCACACGCTTCTCCCGTATTAATGCGATGCCCAAGACCCACCTTCACCGGGGCCGTGCTCTTCAAGTTCATCTTACACCCTCAACATTCAATCAGGGGTTGACCCGAGGGCGCTCCTTCGCCTTGACTACCCGAGAGCTCAAACATGTACACCCACCCTCGATACCCCCGAGCTTGTTCCACTATATACGCCACCGCCCATGGACGGTCCTACATCCTGTAATAATGTTGTCCTGCGATGGATATTGGAGACGCCGATCAATATACCCAGCGAGCGCCGAAGCTTCATCTTGCGTTGTCCTGTCAGGCTATCTCAATGCCGCCCTCTCTGTACTTACATACTTACCCTGAGTCTCAGGCTCTCCTGGTAATAATATTATTCAAGGTCCAGCCTTCCTCGTCAACACCATGATCCGTAACGGCATCGCCCACTCGCCTTCCATCATCTTGCCTCCCCGCGGCCGGGCCTGTGGTGCTGCATGCTCATCGCACTTTCACCGTCGCATCGCACCTTCACCTTCACCGCCTAGCGTCGACAATAATTTTCCCACCTGCCAGCGTGCCAGCGTGTCAATATGTCGCTCATCGTTCACAACACTGACCGGAATCACAATCAGTGAGATAGAATCACGAAATTGATCAGTGGATAATTCATCACATAAATCACGAAATAATGAAACCGGAGAAAGTGGGCCGCCTCTAGGCTCTCTCCTCTAGGTTACGCGGCGTTACGGCCGGTGCTGGTGCTGGACTACAGTCGGACCCCTCTTAACCCATACTCCTGATAACCCATAACCCCTTATAACCCATAGGATTTTCAGTCCACCAACTTGGTGGGCGGGGATTTGCACCCCATAACCCATAGGTCCGTAATAACCCATACCCCATACCCCTTCTCAGGCAAAACCCATAGGTTTTACCGGCCATCAGGCCATATTTGGTGCCACTTACCGGCACTTACAGGACATCATTTCGTTGCGACTCTCCCAGTTTGATGGGAATGCCCTTGATTTCACCCAAAAGCTGCCGAAAACTGATGAATGGAGTCTTAAAGAGGCGTGAGAGCGACAAATCGCACATGAGTGCTCCATATTTGGTAACCCATAGCGAACACTTGTGAAGGTGCAAATTGATCAGGCTGGTCATACGCCCTCTAAACTGTGTTGGTTTGCGCAAAAATGGCCCTCGTACACTCACTAGACAGATACAACCGCATAGATGAGCTCGAGAGCATGATTTCGCCTCAGTCAAGACTGATTTTGACAGTCTGACGTCCGAACTCACTTTTAGTGACACAGAACTGGACTATTTTACCCAGATATTTACCCAAATTTCCGTCTATTTTTCTGGTCTATTTTTAGTACTCCCCCCATAACCCATAACCCCCAATAACCCATACCCCAGGCCATCCACGGAGGGGGTATGGGTTAAGAGGGGTCCGACTGTAGTACTTGACCGAGTCGACGACCGAGCCGCCGACTGCAGGGCTATCAACTCGCGGCCTGGAGGGGATCAAGCTCAAGCTGCCAGTGGGAACGCGTGCAGCTCGAAGGTGTTGCACAGGCACTGATCATGAGCGTATGTATGCTGCAGTGGTCGGTGATACCCAGCTTATGGTGATACCCACTCGGAGATGAAAGAGGAGAGCTTATTCAACGTTCACCGTCACCGTTCACACATATACCTTGGTGTCGTTGCCTTGTGTATGTATACTCTACGTTCACGAACGCTCGCCCGACGCCGTTCCAACGACATTAAGTACTGAAATAAGCGAGTACATAGCCCGGGCAACCGACCCCTACCGCGCTGAAGCTTCCCTTCCCTTCGAGTACCCACGCGAGGCCTGAGCCATTGAGGTTCGGTGAACGTTGAACAGTGAACGGTGCCGGTGAATAGTAAATAGTGTACGCTAATTAAAAGCCTCCCGCCCCCGTCCTCTTTCGCCCCGTCCTCCTCTCGGGCTTACCTCGCACGAACGCGCATACATAGGCCACCCTTCGCCCACCCTTCGCGAGGCGCCTACCTTTAAATTCCTTTACTGATTCGAATTCAAATTCGAATTTTGGTCAAATCGATCCTTTGATACCGCCGAGCCCGGCACAGACGTCGCCGCATCGTGCGCCACACGCACACCCGCTTAGCTCCTTCTGGAACTGGCATTCTGGCAAGTAAATGCTAGGTGATGCTAGGTGATGCGGCCCTACGTACATAAGTAGCACTGGCGGTCCGTGTAATCCTTCCTTCACCCCAGGTGCTCGGTGCTCGGTGCTCGGTGCCAAGTACATCATAAGTAGAGTATACTACTTTCAATTAGCTCTATTACTCTACAAATATTTGCTAACACTAACACTAACAGCACCTTACTCTACTCTACGGCATTTTGGTGCTACCAACTTGAAGTAGTTCCGAGGCAGCACGCCCGAGGTCCTGGCTCTTCAAGCGTGATTACATATGTGGGTAATTGCCATGGCGCTAGCATGCAAAGGAACTCGGATGATAGCCAGTGGGGCCAGCCTGAGAGTGGGGCGAATGCCTACTATGGTGATTACACAACCATTACTTCAAGTTGCACACAGATGAACGTAACCTGTCGACGTCGCAGCTGATCTCCATTACTTACCTTCCAGGTCCTTCCCAAGCTTAAGTATCGTAACAGCACCACCTCAACTTCATTAACGTGGTCGATTAGAAGAAAGGGGTGTATGATCTGGCCTCAGGTAAGTATGAAGACCGTTCATTAAGTAACCTCGCGGAGTCTTGGCATTGCCAATTGCCTGCCTGACCACTGGCACGGCACAGGACCTGGGAGCGAATTTGATTAATGAAAGGATGAAAGACTCCAACCCCTATGGCCCTAAGTAAGTAGTCAATTGCCTCCGAGCCAAGAACCATTGGATAGCAGTCCTTGTCCTCCTTTCACAACTTGGAAGCGTAGTATCAGTTCATCTTCTTCAAGCTTTCATATTACGTGATACAAAATAAGCGCCGACCGATCATGTCAATGATGGCGAGTCGGAGAAGTTGCAAGAATCTGAACACGGCCTTGTGGACTTGAAACTACTCGCCGCCGCTGTTCGAGGACGCTGAAGTCAGCGTGCATTATCAAATTGTACAAATGCACGATAGGGGAGGCAAGATACTAGCATCACCGACTTTATCTACTCTCTACTCGAAGTGAACGGCCTTCCCGTCCTCCTTGAAACTCTTGCGAATGGCGGCGAGCAAGCGGTAATTCTTGGAGGCGTTGTTAATGGCCGGGTACCTCCCCTGCTCCGGACCTTTCGCAAACTCCTTCCACATGTCGGCGATACGATGTTGTCAAAGGGCCCCTGGCTCAGGCTCGCGATACTCGACCTTCTCTCTGTTTACATAGAGCTCCGCGTCAACGACGTGCATCGCCGCCCCCATCAAATGGCCGGATTCGACGCGTACGCGGATGGTGCCCTCCTCCCTGTCATTGTCCCAAAGGAAGCGACGCCTGCAATGCGTGGTGTCTGGTTTTGTACCCCGGGCGCCAGACGGCATTGAAGAAGGCCTTGGACGCGAGGACGCCGGAGATGGAGATATGGTCGGGCTCGATGGCAGCCACTGTCAAGTTCAAGCTCTTTTCAGTGGGCTCAAATATTAGTCTGCCAGTCAACGAACGTGGTCGTATCATAAAGTCGGCTGCTCATGGCGCTGACAGACGTGAAATCGCCCAGAGCCTGGGTCACCATGTCGAGGAAGTGTCCGATGATGATGCTGAGCATGGTTGGCGCCGTTCTTCCCATCTGCATTGTAGCTGCTGCTTTCGGAAATAACAGGGCCCCATGCCCCGACCTCTCGAGGAACAGTCCCCATCTTTCCTTCAACTAAAACCTCCAAGCATACCACACTCGCAGAGAGCACGGCCCCAATCTTCCCACTGGCGATGATGTCCTTGATCTAATGGACGGATGAATCAGTCAAAGGCGTACATATATCACGAAGCGTTATTGTGGGCGAACCTTGGAGACAATCGCGGAGCTACTAGTGTCCTTGCAGCCCGACCAGAGATCGAACAATCGGAGGCGATCTTCGTCGTGCCGCCAGAGTACGTGGCGACGGTGTGTCCAAGGATCTTGCCATACTTGTCCGCGGAATTGGGGGCAGAGGCGTCAGAGGAATTGGACACGGCGACGATGTCATCGTACGTCACACTGAGCGCTTCGGCTAAGCGCCCGCCCAATGACCGGACCCGTCCGGAGTTGGAGAGGCCGACGAATCCGATTTTGATTGGGGCCATGAGTAGAGTTTGTTTTCGGAGAGGGAATGAAAGAACAGACGTCTTATAAACGAACCCCCTGCTCGAGTCGCTGGTTCGTACGCCCCACGAAACACTTCTCGAGGGTTGGTCAGCCCCTCCAACATTTCCGATCAATTTCGGGATTTTGCACGGGCGATTACATCCACGCATTCCCAATGCGCCCGACTGGGTCCATTATTCGTGTATACGCTGTCAGTCCTGTTGTGTCAAACCGGCTTCAAGAAGCGCTAAAGTCGGGCACTTGGGTCTACAGATTCATTCAGAAATGCTGCTCAGTTGCGATTAACACACGCGTCGTGATGGTGCAATCCCCCCTGAAGTGCGATAGAAACGCGCTGACGCCGATGTAGAATCCAATAGCTTATACAGCTCGCATGGAATACTTACTCGATAACCACTGCGCGTTCCCCCACAACGTCGCACGCCCCAAAGGACCCTTTTTTCCTGGCCACAGGAAAACATCCATCGATAGCATGTCCTCGATGACCGAGGCTTAATATTTTTGCTTCACAACCACCCCGCCGAGTTCTGGTGACATCGCGCCTTTAACACGGCGGTACCTTTGGAACTCGACAGGCGAGTGTGTTCTGCTATGAACCCCCAAAACTCCAAAGCTGAACTCACTGCCCTCCTTAGTGTACAATTTCTGGGCAATTCCAGCATTGGTGGGCCAACGTCATATTGGTCAATGATTTCAATTCCCATATCTGAATCTCGAAAGCAAAAAAATAATGAAGTTACTCAAACATTAGGACTGTACCACCATCATACGCTCTAGCGTCCGTAGAGCGTCTTCTCTTGATATCTGGGGAGTTGCAGAGACGGCTGCCTTCACCCGCTCGCCTCCTGAGGCTGAATGGAAAATGAGACGCGCAATGACCTCGCCCTGCCAACGGATCACGAATCGTTAAGAAGTGACGTCTAGCAAAACTGTAGGGATAACGGACCAATTCGACCAGACATGCAACGACGATGAGCCTTGAATAAACATCCATCAGCACAAGACATGAGACAGTGTGTGCGGGTGACGCACCAGATAATAATCCATGTTATTCGCTCCATTGCATTACTGTTCAAGTGATCGTGGATGGCATCCAACTGCAACCACCCAACGAAACGATAAGCGGCTGAAACAGAGACAAGAAGAGGCACGCACGAAATCACTGACAACGCCGAGTTTCTCGTTCAAGACCTGCACGCGTGGCTTGATCTCCATGTACTCTCTGACAGCGTCGTATAGGTCCTTCAGGCTCGCTTCGCTCCAGAAGAGCTCCGGAACGTCGAGGACGTTCGATACGAGGTTGACGTCTCGCCGGAGCTTGAACAAACGCCCAGTCAGTTTGAGCGCGTCGTGCCTGCGGAGGTGTAATGCCCCCGATTCAGCGAGCTGTCTGGGTATTGAGAGGGTGAGAGGTGATGAAAGAACACTTTGTGCATTGGCTTCGTAACGCGCGAGGAGGGTGGACTGAGCAAGGGCGTGTGCGATGGAGAGCTTAAGGAGATGGGAGCGAGATTTGAGTGCTGGAAATGAATTAGAAAGGTTCGCAATGATAGAATAGGTGGTCGTACTGAAGAAATCATTGTATATGCGCGGGTACGCAATGTGTGGATCATGCTAAGAGAAGTGTCAGGTAAGGCGGAACACTGACAGTGGAAATACATGCCGTATAATGACATTCCTCAACCTCCCACTCCTTTTCCTCTATTTTCCGCTTTATTACACCGGCGCCATCGATGTCCTCAATGATATCTCGCTCTTGCCGCTCTTCCAGACCAAAGAATACGACAACACCATACTCGAAGAAGACCACCTCTGCGACGTCGTCATCTCGCGAGGAGGCAATCCCCGCCTCGGGCACGCGTGGGGCATCTTCCGTCGGGTTCCATCGTCTATAGGTCCCAGGATCGGTCTCGGCACCTGGGTCAATGTCAACTATATCCTGATGAGAATATGAGGTGGCTCGGGCAGAAGGCGTTTCTAGTTCTGGTTCTGTCATGAAACCCAGGTCAGGCTCAAGGTCAGTGTCTCCTGGGGTCGGCGTAGGGGGTTCGTCGTCGTGGGATCTTCTCTTTTTCCGCGTCTCAACAGGCGAGCCGGCGGAGATGTACCCTTCACGAAGAGAGGTCGGCGAGCGGGCGGTAGGGTGGGTGAAATAAGTTCCTTGGTAGCCATTCTCCTCGGCTTCGGACAGGCGAGCTAGGAATGACTTCCCAGTCGTGGGTTTGGATGGCATCGACGATCGCATGTTGGCGTTGGGACCGTAGCCTGGTAGTATAGGAAGATGGTACATCTGGGAAAGGTTGCTAAGCCACTTGGTGTTCGACGAAGAGAGGCAACAGGACGTACCACATACAACGCCTCATCAAATGCTCGAGGGGAGACGTTGTGTTCCCTCTTGAGAAAAGACGACAATAGCTTCATCTTGAAAGACTCGGCGACGCAGTAGGCCGCAATCCTCTTGTAGCCTGCTTGCTTCCGTTGGTCCTTGGTCATTCGCTCGGCCTGACTCTTGTACTCCCGCACTCCTCCGTCCGTTTCGTGCCCAAGAGTGAGATCGTCGTCTACATCGACAAGAAGAGGGCGTGTCTGGGGGGCAGATGGGAGTTCTACAAGCTTGTGAGTTGTTTTTGAAGAGCGGTGAGCTTTTGACCCTGACGTCAGACCAGCCACCGAGGCCCGCCGCGACATCGGTGGTGGTTGGGCGGACGCATTCCGGGATCCTGGTACGCCCAAGGATGCTAGTCGCGAGACGGGTTTCCTCCTTGAAGGTAGTTTGGTCGTTGGGGGTACCCGTCCTGGGAGACTTGGTTGTTGGGCCATTATTGATAGAGGTCAGGTGTAGGTGCGGGATCTTGGATTCCTAAGGCGGCATCATGGGCAAAAATCAATCATGACGGAGCACTTCTCAGTCTTCTGGGACTCACACTCAGTGCTTGAACTGTCTTCCTCGACTCTCACACAGCCAGGTACCACTGGTGAACTTGGAGCCTTCGACGAAGTGAGACTCATCACCCTTACGCCGCAGAGAGGCACCGTGGACTAACTGTAGCCGCACGTGTGATTTCAGGAGATCACCGTGAGCCATCCGGCATCGTTTCCTTCGTTCCACTTCCACCTCGGCGGACAAGAAACCCATGCGAATATCGTCGTGAGACGGACCATATCGCACTAGAGGCTTAGTAGAGGTTGTCTCACAGCTCCAACGTGGAGGTGTTTGATTAACAGATTAGTACGTGCATTGTGCTCTGCGGTTTTGGCGTTTCTAACAAGGCGGGCGTCTGTTGTCCAGATACATAACTACGGACAACTATCTTTTATCTCTGTTCACGGAATGGCAACTATCGCTCGTTCGAAGTCAGCGACGCATTCCTTGTCGACACCGCTAATCGACCTAGACTCTCACATCCCATCTCCCTTTCCTCGAAACCAACTTGCCCGTGATACAGTGCCTACGCCATCAGCGGTGGTAGAAGACGTTTTCGCCGACTCGCAGTATGAGGCTGGTCCGTCAACGTCTGCATTAGACGGATCTACATCTGAAGCTTCCGGTACTGTTGCTCTCGTGAGTTGGATGTTCTTGAATACTTTTTTTTTGTATCTCATATTTCAAGTGTAGAAGGAACTCATGCCCTCCATCGTTTATGTCCAAAAGTCCTGCCTCATGACCCTGAACAACCTTCTCTCGGAACCCATTCGTTGGAATCCTATCGTCCCAGACCGTCGCCACTCGATGCCCTCTTCTATCCAACCTTCAACCGCCGCTGCGGAGGATTCATCATCCACGTCTGCTCTACAAACTCTTGTAAAGAACCTTCGCAATCACCAGGCGAGTGGGGAAATGGTTGAAGCACGCGAAGAGAGTACGGATGCCGAGCTATTGCGAGAGCTGTCTACACGCATTGGTGTGATAGCCCGCTCGCTGTCCGAGGCCGATGCTGCGCTAGCGAAGGCCCTTGTCTCGCTTTTGACGGATCTAAATCGTCTTTCGGAGCTCCAAGCCAATATCACGCATCTCCCCGCCCACCTTGTCTCCGAAGAGACATCCAGCATTCTGGAAGCCCCGCCTCCAATCGACGTGTTCGACAGATTGACACGCCAGCTCAGTGACCTGCAGATTGAACGTCTCTCATCGCAGGCACAGGTACTGGTACCCGGCGCCTCGCCCTTATTTGCAGTCGAGACTGCCCTTCTTTGGTCTCGCATTGATGCAGACCTAGAAAAAGTCGTCGCGATGTGCAAACATCGAACAGATTCTTTTATCGATAATCTCCCGCCGCAGTACGACCCCGCAGACTACGAAGACGATGACGGTGATCTCCAGCCGCCAGAATACGACCAGATGGGGCGGCCATCTTTTGATGACTCTAAATACAAGGCTGGCTTTTTTCAACAACAGCAACAAGGATCGCGCCAGACTGATGAAAAGATGAAGATGGACCTTGAGGCCGTAACAATGGCCATCGACCGACTATATCTTGTTGCACCCCAGTTGCATAACCAACGTGTTGAGCTCAAATCGTCGAAGCTGGCCGAGATGGAGAAGGCAAGGCGAGAAGTTACGACAAAGAGCAAAGGGAAGGAGCGCGATGCGAAAGAGCTAGAGAACATTTTGAACCTGCTGGGAAGGGCTTCGGAGAGGACGCTCAAAGACCAGTCAGTCATCTTGGATGGCGGGATGAAGAGCAGGTTGGAAAGGTCGAGGCAGAAGGAGTCGGCGAAGGTTCGCATTCTTCGTTCCAAAGTTGTTTGCATTCTGTCTGATATCTTGCAGAGAGACGCTTTCGTGGAACAACTAGTACAGCATTCACGAGCAGGACGGATGCATGGTCAAGACGCTGTCCTGCAGCCTTCGACCCCAAGACTCAAGGACTCGGACAGAATCAGAGATCCAGAAGCTATGCTAACGCTACCCGAGTTTATGCGGGAACCCTTGCCAGCTTCCGAGCGCCAAAAGGACTCGGAGGCGATGTTGACGCTCCCTGAATTCGTCAACGAGCCTCTACCCCTTCAATTCAGTCTGCTGGACACAGACCCAGCACAGGAAGGGCCAGATGGGAAGCCGAGGAAGAAACGGAGTCGAAGCTTGTCTGCGCCTCCGCTGGCCTGGTTGAGGTCGTCCTCGCGATCGTCCAACAGTTCCTCAGGCTCGAGTAGCTCAAGTTCGAAGGGCAAAGCGAAAGCGATTGGCCATGGTGCGTCGGCTTCTTGTATCTCATTTCCGCGGCTTATTTGTTTAACAGCCTTCGACGTCACCTATGTCGCCGAGAATCATGAGAATCTGCACCACATCCTCGTTTTCTTCACGGTCACTGGAGCGAAGGCTGGAGCAGAGCTGCAGGCCGAAATCATACCCTCCTTCCTCAATCACCCCTCTGACGGCGGCGACCACCTCGTCATTAAGTCCGGGCCTTATTCATCCTTGCCGCTGATGCTGCCCGCCCATACCACGCCAGGCAAGAAGGAAGTGCGCTCACAAGGCGGACACCACGAGATCAAGCTCCTCACCCAACCATCAACATCCCCCACGGGCTCTACCTTCTCCGGCGAGCACCATATCACGGCCTCCTCACAGCTCCTCGACGCTACTCAACTGCTGTCCATGAACCCTACATCTTTCCTGTGCGCATCGTGCTCACTACCACTCATCCAATCGAACAGGGTGGGTGAGTATCGCGATCTGCCGTCGGAGCACTGGGAAGAACTCGTCGAGGCGTGGATGTGCCACAGCAATCAGAAACTACACGAGCATGTGCAAAAGCACGGCAAGAGTGGCTTTTGGCCCAGTCCGGGGCAGGCGCTGGTTGGTGGGAGCTACATCTTGTTTGATGAGTCGACGATGAATCGAGGCAACTTACATCTGGCTCCTGATTCGAAAGTACGTCGCGTTTCGCTTTGTCCATTGATTTTCTTGCTTCTTTTTTCTTTCCTATTATTGCATTTGTTTTGGTTTTTAAATGTTACATATGGACTACAAGAAGACTGGCGCTGGTCTTCCACCAGCGGCCGTTGCTACTGGCGTTCTGACCTGCCTTGGTACGGCCGTCGAGCATCTGCGGAGCCCATGTAAGTTCCAACGAGTTGTTTGCTGGTTCGCTGGGCAGGCCTGGCGTCTTTGGCACGGCTTCACTAGTTGATACACCTAGTCCTATATAGATATGCTGCTCTTTCAAACAACTCTCATGTGGAAAGAGGTCAACGTCGTGGGAGCTACGCTTGAGGGCACATTCTCTTTTTCTCGTTATTCGTTTTATTACACCCTTTTCTATCTAATACTACTCGTTGTCTTGCATGCTCCTTCGTCAACTGTCGTCCTGATCACTCACTATTGTAATTTCAGCATGACGACAATTGGCACCTTACCCGATGTCTATGTGGGGCAGTCGTTGGCCGGTGTCAGGAACGTGCTTCTGAGCAAGGCAAGACAACTGTGTATCGTGTACTGAAGTACGCTGTACGGCCAGTTAGCGTGACTTCAGAGTATGTATCTCGTCTCTCCTTTTCAAGGGTTTAACAACGCTGATGCCTTTGCCTTTTCAGACCATTCCGAGTGCCACTTTCTGCTTTCATCGTAGAGGATATGGCAGAATTTGTGCAAGCTCATGCGTCATATCGCTTCGTGATCCATGACGAGGAAGAAGACAAGCCGCGAATACTGGTATGTTTGCGGGATGCCATGGCCTGTCTCTGCACTTAACGCATCCTCTAGATTTGGTTGTTCAAACCCCGAATCCGTTTGGCCTACACGACGCCTGGTACTCGTGGAATTCCCAAGAGTGCTAACATCCTGGCAGCCAAAGTCCTTTACAAGCTCCTAGGCCCAACTGAAACCACCACGGGTATCAAAAGGCAATATCCTCTCTCTATTCTTTCGTTGAAGGTCACTTAACGACTTCCCCTCGACTAGTATTCTCAACAAATACCCTGGCTTCCCACAAGCGGAATACCTATCGTACCCGATGGCGGTCTGCAGGCACATTGCAGGCTTACTGAAGGAGAGTAATTCGGCCTACCCGGAAGGTTTGCGGATGATGACGGGACTGGAGGTAGGATGGCTGCAGCGTATTTGAGACGAGAGATCTACGAGTCCTATGGTGTTGGCCGTGGTTTCGGACTAGATGAAGGCAGATTGTTTATGGTGGTAGTCTTCTCCGTGGACTAGTGCCCTGTTGAGCCAGTGCAAACGAGAAAGAGTAAAACATCATGATAATGCGATAGTAATGTAGATTGTGATGGGGGTCTGTGTACAAGGAGGGAAGAGCAGCCTAGAGCATGATGCGGTAATGGAAAGGTCGAACTAAGTAGAGCTTTGCTTCATCGCGTGGAAGTGGCCCTAAATGTGCCTGACGAGGAATAAAGGCTCCTAATTCCTACTTGACCGAAAACTCCACAAGACGAAGTTCTGAAATACGACCAAAATTAAATGTAAGGCGGGTGAGCTGGTAGGGGCTGGTAGCATGTCGTAAATTGACTCATATATACGGTGTGCTCCCAGCCTCTACCACTGCCAGCTCACCAACGAGCAATTCCATTTTATCCCCCAATCCGTTTTGCCCCAATGCCATGACGAGCAGAAGATAACCAGTCTTCGACACCGAGACCCAATTCAGGTTAGAGGTACCCGTCAACCACAAGCTGTTGAGTATTTACGAACTCATGCATGACTACCCTGAATAGGAACCACGATGCGACGGCTGAAGGCCTCAAACTGGTTTTCATCGTAATAGCATTCTCGGTGCGTGATTGCGTTCGCCGCTCTTCGTGGAACCCCTGCATTCTCCACGTAGTCGGGATTGCGTCCCATGTGCTTGAGGCACGGGAAACCCTTCACCAGCTGGATTCTCCCGTGAGGTGACAAGAGAAGCGGAGCATGCTCTAAGAGGTAATAAGAGGTAGAGGTGCTCCAGAGTAGGAGGAGAGGTAGATTCAGTTCTCCAGAGTGGATCATACACAAACGATGGAGGCCACCATAATACGAGCCATGCCCTTGACCTGTCCCGCCACCAGTCATCCGCAACTGGTTCTTCATCATGTTTATTCTCTTGTCAGAGCTGAAGGAGGACATGGCGGACAGCATTAAGACTTGAGGGTCTTCTGCTGCTCAGTGGATGACATCGAAGCATCTTCCACAGGCAAATCCTCTGATGTGCCACCGGCTTTCTCTTCTACAGAGGATCTGGCTTTCTCCTCCAATCGGTTGATAAGTATCCCAGTGCAGCTCTCGAGCGATTGAGCCTCTCTCAATGTAGCATCTGCGCAGCCTCCCCATCTAATTTTGAGGTTCTCGTCAATGAGATATACGTAGCCGACCTTGCTATTTGTCATGCCCAGAGGGTCGCGGAGATATTCCATATTTTGACTCGACACCAGGTAGTTTTTCTGGAGCTCGAGCGGCACTGAGGAGCGTAATGAGTTGGAGAAGAGTTTGACGAGGAAGGACTTGAGGAGATTTTCTTGGAGGTTGATTTGGACATATTGGAAGAGGGGATTGCTCGAATACCGGGCGTATGTACTATTGGCGAAGCTTTTGGCGTGTGTCTGAAGAACGGGTTAGACAGTGCTCAATAGAAGATGGGAACGTGTTCACTTCGGATATTTGAGTTCCTAACATGGCAAGCACGGTTATTTTGCCATAGAGCATTGTTGTAGTGTCCATCTTGGCTCCGTCGCGCAGGCTCTTCCCATTTATGTTCGGGAGATATAATGCTTTCTTACGAGGAAAGGTTAGAACATTGCAGAGACTTGGTCTTTGCGAAAGACGTACATCCTCTCGAATGAGAACTTTGGGTGCTATCCAAGTTTTACCCCCGTGTTTTCGCGTCATGTTCATGTCATGGAAGTAGCCTTTCGAGGCTTCTTTGACTCTAGTTCAAATGGTTATTCCAGGTCGGAACGACGGAAGGTGTAACATACGTACAAATGTCTGCGCTGCGCTGTGCGTGCCTCAGCATCCAGGAGATCCTTCATCCTCTCCGTACGAGTCCTCTCGAGGGTGGTGGGGCGCTGCCGCACTCCTAGCGGGCGATTCAGACCAGGTAGCGGCTGGTCCTTCGCTTCTAGCTTTGGAAGTTGCTTCTCGGTGTTCTTCGACCGCTCAGCAGCTTGTAGGAGCGCATTTGAAGAGTGTATACTGCGTCGTATACATAGAAGTTGTTCTGGCCTTCGCGAGAGCACGTTGCTGATACGCCAGGGGATGACACCAGACATGGTGTCGCAGTGGAGTTTGTCGGCAAGATGTGACGCCAGATGCGTGACCAGCCGTGTGACACCAGCGCGTTAGATCACGTGTATCTACAAACAGGAACACATAAATTGGCGCGTTCCATCAATCGTTTGTTTAGTCACTCCTCTTGAACCTCAACCACCACCGTCCTCTCACCTCTCCGCATAATTACCCATCTTAACTTATCGACATGGTATGTCGACCTACCTTCTTCGTCGTAGCTCTGTCCTGATTAAGATGCGCACTTCTAGAGCGGCAAAGGTCGGTTTCACAGCTGACTTGAAGCAGTAGTCCTGAATCTGACAGCCTTCAGGCAAATCCGGCAAATCATCCTCTGGCGGCAAGGTCGGCGGGGATGGTAAGTCCCAGTCTCGCTCTGCCAAGGCTGGTCTCCAGTTCCCCGTCGGTCGTGTACACCGTCTCTTGAAGAAGGGTAACTACGCCCAACGCGTTGGCGCCGGTGCCCCAGGTGCGTCACATTCTCGTGGGCCTTGTTGACTGTTGACTGAACTCGCCCCTTCTAGTCTACTTGGCTGCCGTGCTCGAATACCTCGCTGCAGAGATTCTCGAGCTGGCTGGCAACGCCGCTCGTGATAACAAGAAGCAACGTATCGTCCCCCGTCACCTTCAGCTCGCCATCCGTAACGATGAAGAGTATGTCACTGCGACCCCATGTCGACTGAGCCTCTCTCATAATCGGTATAGGTTGAACAGGCTATTGGGCGATGTCGTCATCTCTCAGGGTGGTGTCGTGCCCCACATTGCCGCAGTACGTCTCCTTTCCTTTTGGAGTCACCGTTGTATTCTAATGACACTCCAATCTCAGGAATTGCTCCCCAGCAAGTCAAGGTAAGCCTTTGCTTCCATTCCTTCCTGCCCTCTGACTGATTGAAAATCGTAGCAAATCCAAGAAAGACGCCGAAGAGGCCTAATCTCCTCCGTATTCTTATGCATTATTCTTCGCCCCACCCTCTATATTGTTGTATTCCTACACTGTATTTTACGTCCAACACGCTTCGTTTTGGCCTCAGTGGATGCTAGGACTTCATGCTACCACAGACGTGGAAAGTACTGTACTTGTGGGCATTCAGCATAGATTGCATCCAGGAATGTCTATCCAGGACTATGGTACGGAATCGAACTTTCCTCATCCGCAAACCGCACGGGTGTGCAGGTATGTACGAGGAGTATATTGTATTTCCTTCAGGCGAGAGGTTGAACGGCGATCGGTCCGAAAGCAGTTGTTTGACCCCGCTGTATTTGGAAGTTGAAGGCAGGTCAATTGGCACAATCAAGTCTTCAATACCTTCCGCCACGAACGCCCCATATTATTCCCTTTACGACGACGAGGTTAATCCTCAATAATGCGGTGGCCAGCTCCGCCCGAGAGGCGAGAGATTGCCCTCGTTCTCCTCTCTCTAATCGCATATTTCTTCGCCTACAATCTCGACGCCTCGCTCAACCTAATTGGCGTCGACCCCCAGGCCACACAAGGGGCCCTCTTTCGCAATATCGGTCTTGGAAAGACCAGAGTCATCGGACCAGATGGGCGGAAGCCGCCTGGATGGCGAGACCCACTGGAGATGGATATTTATGGCGAGTGGCAGTGGGAAGAAGGACACGTCGCGGGCGAGGGCAAGGAGCGCAGCCAACCGACGGTCAGTGGGAGGCATGGTGCGACGTGGCGGGCGCAGCAGGAGATGATGAACACGTCGCCGGGGGATCAGAGTTTCTCAGAGTCTACGGTGGACAACGCCCTGCAGCGGTGGGGAGAGGACGTCCCGCAGACACAGGTTGTAAAGCATGTCCCAGGTCTCTCGTCTCTTTCTTATTCGTGCCGAACTGAACTGATGTCGTGCCTTTAGGATACTCTATCCTGGACAATGTTGTTCTTCTCAACAGGACGTTCTATCTCGTGACAGACAACAAGCATGCATTCCCGTCAATACCAACGATTGTCTCAAGTCAAGGCACTGGTTATGCGGAGTGGAAGGTGATCTCTTTACGGGAAGGTCGAGAAGTTCTCGGAACATACGGCTCAACGTACGTTGATCCTTCTATATTGCTTCTAGCTCACTAATGTCTGACTTCCTTTGCCTACAAAAGCATTCGTGGTGTTTCCTGGATGTCAGCCGACTCACAACCAGGTGCGTTCTTCTCCCACATGCAACGGAAGGTATTATTAACTAAAGCTCGTTCTCAGACAACTCTACCCTCTTTGCGTTATGGCGGACGTACAGCTCTCTCGATACATCGATAGACGAAACTGGCCGCACAAAGCTCGCCCCACCCCATAGGCTTATCTTTCCGCATAGTCACGTCTTCACCGATACTGGCGTTGATCCCGACCATTACTGGGAGAAGCGACGACGCGCTGACACCGGTTTCCACCCTTATCTCGCGAAAGCCGCTTTCCCTCAACTCACTGCGCAGTACCTTGAGGGAATGGAGGACTATCAGAAGATGTCCGTACCATACGTCTTTGAGCGACTGGTTGTGGCAGATAGAGCGGCCGCGCGCAAGGTCGGTAAAGAAGGGATGCCGGCTTTCTCGTCCGCGTTCGAACTGGGTGGTTCAACACACTGGTGGGAGCCTGTGCGTAGGAGTCTGGCGCAGTTCCTAGACGAGTATGAAGTCAAACCGAAGGCCAAGAAGTCCGTGACGTATCTGTATTCGCAAACAGTGCCTAGTACCCCGAAGCTTGAGTCAGCCGACCACAACGCCCTTGTCGAAGCGCTGCAAAAGATGGGCAAGAGCCACGGATACGAGGTGCATATCGTCTCAATAGACACGAGTCAGACGAATTGGGTCGATAGGATGACTGCCATCGTCAAGTCATCGGTACGTCTGCTAGTGCGTTCCAGCCATGGACGTGTGTTAAACTCTGACAGGTCGTGCTCGGTGTGCACGGAAGCCATCTGATGGACAGCGTCTTTATGCTACCCGGGCCTTTCTCGACGTTAATGGAGTTCTTCCCTGAGGATAAGTTTGCACGAGACATGCAACTTGCTGCCCATTTGATTGGACTGCGGTATCAGGGATGGCAAGGCAAAAGGTAAGCACATCCCCGTTGTTTCACTATTCTTCAGGTATTCTGATGACTGTTTTCCCTGTGTGCTTTTCTAGATCTCTCACAAACGATCCTTCTACGGTTACCCCACCAAAAAGCGAACCTGTGTCTATTGATGTCCCCGCAGTCGTCCAGGCGATACGAGAGGTGCTCTCTCGTGACGCAAAATGAAGGAAAACAACCTTAACCCGCACGAAACACCCCTGGCTGGACGTCCCAACTCGTTCATCCTCTCTCTAGACCACGCACTGGAGCTGGTATTCACTTCCAGTCCACGAATTAGACACACTCTAGGCCCCTACTGCTGGAATTAATGTATATTTATTATGTTTCCCTTCATAACGGTATGACCTCTGATCGTCATCCCTTTTGCCTTCCTTTTCCTTTCCACTCGTTTTGTCCTTGACTCGCGCTGTCAGCTATCTCGCAAATGGATCCCTTTGGACTACAGCATTCGCACTCGTCCTTCCTCTGGTAAAAGTTGGTGTGGATTTTGTATTTACGGCACTATAGTATTACAGCCGTTTTCTTATCGATAGGCCGCCATCAAAGAAATATATATACAAGCGGACTACGAAAATTAGGGCCCTCTCACGAGCCGAGAGCTTGGGATGATGGCCTACTCCGACATTATCTGGACATTTGCCTCCGAGAATTACAGAGTAGCTGGTGAGGTGATGAGGGCGAGACGCTGCTACAATAAATTTTTGGGAGAGGCGAGAGATCCGCTGGTTCGCAGAATTGTGCATGTGGGACTCATGACCATCGAGAATGTCCAAGTCACCACTGCCAGCGCCCATGGACTTCACGAGCCTCACATGGTTCCCCGTGGTCAACCCAGAAATCTGCGGAAAAGGGGTTGAGTAGGCAGAAAGGGTGTATAAATTACAATGGTCTTCGAAGCTGGAGCCTGGTGCGATGCCTCATAATCTTGACATCCTCCTCGTCTGGTGAAACCTCGAGGATGACCTGGAAGATTTTTTATTCTGTTGCAAGAATCCTGTTTCTCGACTTTGGATAGCGCAGGTAGGACAAGGTAGGACAGCCCTTGCCTTGAGCTCTATCCGTTGATCTCCGGCATCTAAATCGCGACTCCGCCTAAGCGATTAGTGCGTGTATTTCGCTTATGTTGGCCTATCGATACGAAAACGGCTGTAATAGACGGTTCGACCTTCACGGTGATTTAATGGGGTTTACTACAGTCGCGGACAAACGAAGTCAACAAAAAATATGAACTTTTTTTATTGCATCCGAAAATGGTCGAAATCGACGCGTCGCAAGAGGGGAGGATGTCAGGAGTTGATAGAGCTGAAGGTGTGGGGGTGTAATAGGATCACAGCAAAGAGGGTGAGTCAGGCCCCGGGAAGTTCTTGGCGTTTGGTGCAAGTTTGCGGATTTGAGACCAAAATTTTGGCAAATCTCTGTCCCCAAACTTGCGGATTTGAGACCAATTTTGGCCAACCTCTGTCCCAAGTTTGCGGATTTGAGAGGTGTTAATAACAAAGTAGTTAATAACATGTTAAAAATGTTAAAAATGGTTTTTAATGTTGTCAATTAGTTTTCAGCGTGAAAAAGTGTGACAAAATCGCCCCGGGGTTCGGTTATGAATTAAATTGTCCATTTCCCAACAAAGTGCCTCGGGAATATTTCCTTTACATCGCTAGATATGACCTTTGTCACCGACGTCAAACAGGTAGATTGTGAGATCGGGGTAGTGTGTGTCACCCGGACCGCGAGTTGGCAAAGACAGAGTGAGACTGGTAATTAAAGGGTCGAGAGTCCAAAGAAGCCATGACGTCAAGATTTTGCCTTCGAGACCCCCTCTGAAGGGTGGATCCGTATCCGACCTTGCTCGAGATATTCCAGGGTCCTATGTTATTCCAGGGTCCTATGTGGCAGTGAAATTGAAACTGGTTGCTGCGGACCTGCGGCACTGTGGAAGCGGCAGTGGAGGCGGCAGTGCAGCGAAATCGAAACTCAGCTGGATTGGTCCGTGCGACGGTATTTCAAAGTCCGCCTTATACGAGGGGACTGGTACGCCTGCTTCAGCCCAACTGCCAACTGCCACCTGCCACCATCATGGCTAACCTCATTCGCTCCGCCAAGTCCGGCAGCGACTGGACTCTCAATGACCTGGACTCATATCACATCAGCCTCAATCAGATGGATGCTCTTCCGTTCTTTGGCTTACAGGTACGCGAGGATATGTTTCGCTATAGCCCTCGGAAAGACTCTAACGACTTTGCACATCACAGGCGTTGCCACAACCCTCGGTTGATCCAGAGCTGCTAACCAATGTCGAAGCTGGCGCTATGCAACAAGATCGCCACGCAGAGTTGATCACCTACCTTGATCTCGCCATGATCCCTGAAAACGGTGAAACCGCCGTGGATGATTTTGCCGTCGAGCTTTTCAAGATTCTGGGTTATGTTCGTCGAGAACGAGTGGCGCGCACGCGGATGGACCTCCCGCTCCTTATTTGCGGCGAAAGCAGGCACGTAAAGACCGACGTCTGTATCATCGATCGATCTCAGAACGATATCCTTCTCCTCGTCCAGGAAGACAAGAGGTTGGAGCACGGGGAGCCTGTCAATGCGCGAGCTCAGCTTGTAGCAGAAGCAATCGGGGCCTTTAACGAGAATAATGCGCAAAGGGAAGCGGCTGGACTAGCTCCTCTGGCGGAAAAGGTGAATCATTTCGCGAGTTTGTTGATCCTTTTCTGGAAGATTGTTCTTAGGTCATACCCGGCATTGTCATGGTGGGCACTTCGCCCACGTTCTTTAAAATTCCCGTCACCAGAACCCTCTCCACCCATATTCGTCATGGGACCTATCCTCCAGAGGAAACCCAGGTGACCTATTGTTATCCGCCCGTTCCTCGTCCCGCCCGCCGACGTAGTGAAGGGATGAAGCCTCTCGACAACAGGCGTGAAATTTTGAAGTGCTATGAAGCGTTTAAAGTGATTGTGGGTATATGACATGGACTTGATGCAGCATGTATGAGTATGAGATAGCATCACTTGTAAAACTTGAATGATACGCATCGTTGAGCTTGAGGCTTTGAGGGATGAGGCCTGAGGCTGAAACTCGAAGGTTTTCAAGGACAGCTTGTGCGTAGATTAGTTACAGTAAAGCGTAGCGTACGGCCGACGAATCGTATGACAAGTTAGCCATCCCCGAGGTTTGTGTGTGCCCCGCCCGCTCTCTCCTTTTATTTCGCTTGACCATTCCATCACCAAGAACGGTAGCATATACGCGCCGGCCTGACCCGATCTCACTTTTTTCTTTCCCTCCCTCCCGCTGCCTAGTGTGTGGGTAGTTCACGGATCCCAGCTTGTTGGGTTTCCCCTCCCTGTACTTACCTGCGCGCTCCGCTCTTCGGTTACGTGAGTTCAATATTTTGTTTCTCTTTCAGAAGATGAAATCAGGAGACCGTGCCGATCGAGCAGATTGTCCAAGCCACCCAGGTCAAGAACACTCTGTAAAGGTATTGAATCAATCGAGAGCAGGGCTTGATGAGAGGGTTCTAACGATATACTTTTCGTCCCGATCCATCGAGCCGTTCCTCCAGAAAATGCCAAATAAGGGAAATCGACCCCAAAATTATTGGCCGGACGTAAAAAGTAGGGCTGCCAACCGAACCCGTGTGCGACGGTAGACGGCAGCCGACGCACGGCACGGGTAGCCGAACCGGAACCATTCCTGGCTTCCCTCACCCGGGACGGCTGAACCATTCACAGCGCCCGTCCAAGCCGTGCTTGGTCGGCCGGTGGAACCCGTCGACGGAAAGCCGGGTTCGAGAGTAATTGTTACTCATCTCTGTATTGAATGATATGCCTAGTGATTGGTAGGTTAACTGTGTATAATGGGTAGACAAATATGCATAAAATATAACACCTACATATCCCGATAGAGTAGCGGCGCGACGCAAATTGCGAGGTGCGTCATTCCCTGGGTGTGCGAGACTTGAGTAGCTTGAGTGAGTGAAGAAGAGAGGTGCGATGCGAAACGTGCCAGAACCTGGGACGAGCGCTTAATGTGTTAGAACTCCAGAGAAGCTGATATTTTGAACGATGTCATAAGCCCACGAAAACGACGAAATATAAGTATGAGGGATGAATTTATGATGACTTACGAGGGCGTCAAGAAGATACAAGATGAAATAGAGAGATAAGTGTGCAGGAGATGGGTCTCCGTGGCTAGTGGAGGTGATTCGGGATGCGGCTATGTGCACCCGCTGGTCCAATCCAATAGTCCGAAGTTGTTCGATGGGCGCTTGAATGCATTGGCCGTGGCATGCTACGAAGGCTCTCTAAAAAATGCCCAAATGAGTTGGGTTTAAAAGATTACTACCCAACATCTCACCATGCCAAAGGCCCACACAGTCGGAGGGACCAATCAGCAAATTTAGGCGCCGAGGGTTACTTATGTTACCGGGTTGGAGGACGGCCGTACACGGCCGTGTTTATTCCCGACCCGACCCGATGGTACATCCCTTTCCTGAATACCCGGCCGGTTCTCACTCATTTAAACCCGACCTCCAGCCGTCCTTGGACGGCCGTCACCGTACCCGGCACGGTTGGCAGCCCTAGTAAAAAGTGCTTATAGAATCCAGAAAAAGTGTGCAATCGCTTCCTTTTGATGAGGTGTGTTCGGTTCTGATGAAACTAACAATTTCACACACTTATTCCACTATTTTTGCGAACAGGGTGATGAACTTACACATGTTCCCCTCTACAAATTACCCCCCAGTGTCATTTTCTCTCAGTCAACACCTCTATGACCTCCTTCCCCTCCCAGATATTATTTTCCAGTTTCAATTTATGTTCTGAAGGTGTTGCCCTTCATGAAGCCTTGGGTGAGCCATCCAATTCTGGGGTAGCAGGTGCTGCTTCTGCTATTCTGGAGATTTCTGTGGTTTTGATGGCAGCAATGGCATGTCTCTTTCAGATTTAATAGCTCGTAATGCAAGGAGGATGATATGGGATGTTGTTTTCAGCGGCAGGCAGTGGAAAGCAGGCAGGTCAACACCAAGCTCGAGTGGCGGGGCTCCGCTTTATGGATTTGATTACGACTGTCACACTAGGGGACACGTGCAGTCACCGGCTTTCGCCGAGGCTCCAGGCTGCAGGCTCTGCCAACAACTCGGATGCCCTCGTTTTTCTCGCACGTTTTTGTCACTTACTCATCAGCAATTCCTGATTTTGTTATGCGTGCTATACGCGGGTACGTAGCACCCCATAATTGGGGGGGTATCCCAATAGATAAGGACATGCATTACAGTACTATGCCGTGTTACGTAGCGCTACGTAACGCGCCATAACACGCTATACCACCGAAATCGAGGCCATTTTGACCTTCAAAATCACGATTTGCTGATGCTGATGGAAAAAGATGCTCAGGGAGTGATGCAGACTAAAATTTATGACATTCCTGCCACTCGCGGACCGAAAGTCACCCACATCCGGCGCATCTGGAGAGGTAAAACTTCCAAAATTTCGACCAAAAATTTGGCCGCCAAAACGGCTCATGGGAAAAACTTCGGAGGTAGGTTTTTCGACGTATTTCGCCAGCCTGAGTTCGAATCTGAAGTCAGAATGGCAAAAAATTATTTGTTCCTGAGATATCCGGTTTGTGGACTTTGTTTGTCCACGACTGTAGTACTTACCGCCATTCGACCCTCAGTGGCGCAAGAGGGTGCATCTAGGGATAGATCTTGCTGTGAAGACTTCGCTTATGATCTAATCAGATATGCAAATTAACCGAGATGCTTTCGTCCTTCGGGCCGTCGTGAAAGCCAAGTGAACGTTGGTATTTCCTGCGGCTGCCATGATTTCTGAAGACAAGAACACACAATTGGGCGTCGAGAACACTCCTGCCGAAGACGAACGGCTGCCACACCACCCTGGCAGACCCTGGCGCTTAAATCTACGACAAGGCACAGCCCAACGGACGCAAATTTGCCGTCGTTCTCTGGGCGTGGAAAGAGAGGGGAAACCTTGTCCGCCTATTGCAATTGCCGACGGGAGCCAGCTGGATCTGATCAAGCGGATACCTTTCCGGTACACATGACACAACAGAAATGACCTCAGGCTTTCAAAGACTTGTCTTCTCTGCGCCGTTCTGAACTATTAATGGGATTAACTATCGAATTGCTCTACTGGAATCCACCTCCGGGCCCTATTCCTTAGCTATTTCGGTCTTTCTGAGGCGAATCAGCTGGAACGTCCTCTATTTTGGCGACTGGATCTACGGTGCCCAAGGCCTCGGCTCGTCTGCACATGAACATCTGTCCTTGACATACGAGTAATAACGTCAAAAAACGGGTGTTTCGGGCGGGCGTAGAAAGGTTTAAAGAACACCAGCTTTCGGTCGCATAAATCCCTGTTTTCACTTGTGCTTTTCGCCCCCCATAACACCCTATTGTCATCGGTCTTGCGGCCTGTCCTTCGTTCATTCATACCCTTACCGCAACACCTTGAATATCGATCATGACTCACCACGAAGAAACGCATACGTCAACGAGCCATTCACCCAACTCGTCTGTCACCCATGTGCAGGTGAACGAAAAGCAGCCTGATGGCTCGGCCGACCTCCCGGCGCTCGAACGGATGGTGTCCAACGGACATGGCGAATCGGCGCTACCAGCGGATAAGATCGAGGAGGCTCTAGAGAACCTGGAGGAGGACTGGGAGGACGATCCCGAGAATGCGAGGAATTGGTCGCACGGAAGGAAGTGGGCAGCTGTGTCAATTGTACGCCACTTTTCTTTGCTATTCTTGCCTGTGCAACACGTTCAACATTTGTAGGTCTCGGCATACTGCTTCGTGTCACCACTAGCCAGCTCTATGATGGCCCCTGGTCTAGGAGAGGTAGCCCAGAGATATGGAATTACAAATCCGACCGTCATCGCGATGACCCTTTCTATTTTCCTCCTCTCTTTTGCCATTGGTGTGAGTGATGTCTTTCGTGTCGTATATTCGCCTTTTCTGAAGAGATGATCTTATAGCCCCTTCTTATTGCGCCTCTGTCTGAAATGTATGGCAGGACATGGGTACGTGCGATTCTTACTCCCATGCATACTTCTCAAGATGCTGACAATAAACGTTCAGGTCTTGCACATTTGCAACCTCTTCACCATGGCTTTCTGCTTCGGATGTGCGTTCGCCCCGGACACGGGGTCGCTCATCGCTTTCCGTTTCCTCAGTACGTCGTACAGTCTTCGACAATTGTTGCCGATGTTTAGCTCCTTCCAGGCGGCTTCACTGGTAGTGCACCAGTAGCCTGTGGTGGAGGATCGATGGGAGATCTCTTCGCGGAGCGCGATCGCGCAATGGCCATGGCCTTGTTCAGTCTCGGACCCCTCATTGGTGTGTCTTCCGGAAGGAAATGAATGCTTCTTACGGCAACTGACGTTACTCCCTTCCCCACCTTGCAGGCCCGGTTGTAGGTCCCGTAGCAGGTGGTTTCATCGCTCAATCGGTCGGGGTCAAATGGGTGTTCATCGTTATTGGCAGTACGTAGCCTCCTGAACTCTCAGCTGCGGCTTGAACTCAACTCATTCTCCCCTTCTCGCAGTTATGTGCGGCCTCAGCAGCGCAATCGGCATCCCGGTCCTCAAAGAGACATACGCCCCGGTCATCCGCCTGCGTCGCGCACAGAAGTCCGGCGACCTCGAGACAGCCGCGAAAGCCCACCCCCACCTACTCGCGGAGCACAGCAGCAAGCTGCACGTCCTTTGGATCAACCTTGCCCGCCCGATCACGATCCTCTGCACTAGCTTTATCTGCTTCGTCCTCAGCCTCTATATGTCATTCATGTACGGCATTTTCTACCTCATGTTCGCTACTTTTGCTGGTAAGCGTTTGCGTTTCCCTTCTGCTCTCGATCTGGCAAGTTGATGTTACCCTGCAGCTCTGTTTCGCAACACGTACGGCTTCAAGTCAGGTATCGGAGGCCTCGCCTACCTGGGTCTTGGAATCGGTTTCCTCGCAGCTACGGCTTTCGGTGCCAAGGTGGCCGATGCGCTCTATAAACGCGTGCGTCCAGTTTCTCGACTCAAATTTAATCCACCCTCAATTCTGTTTCCTATACAGCTTGCTGCGAAGAATGGCGGCGTCGCTACCCCCGAGATGCGCATCCCTGCTCTCTTCTTCGGCGCTTTCTTCGTCCCCATAGGCCTCTTTTGGTACGGATGGTTAGCCCAAGCTAAGCTACACTGGATCATGCCCATCATTGGCTCTGGTATCTTCGGTTTCGGAATGATGACTACGTTGTATGTTGATTTCAAAATTGTCGAGTCTTTGGGACTGACTGGCAATATGCGTCCAGCCTACCGATTAATTTGTACCTCGTCGACTCATTTACCTACGCTGCCAGCGCTACAGCTGCTTCCGCGCTTTTCCGATCCCTCCTGGGTTTTGCCTTCCCTCTTTTCGGTTCGCAGATGTTCGACGCTCTCGGTATGGGAGGTGGCAATTCGGTAGGGACCTCTTTTCTGGCCTCCGCGTTCAAAGTCTGACGCATATATTCATCTAGCTCCTCGCCGGTCTGTCTATTGTACTCGGCATTCCTTTCCCTATCTACATCTACTTCAAGGGAGCGGAACTGCGCGCGAAGAGTATTCATACTCGCGAGTCGACGGTCCCGAAGCTCTTGAATGGCAACGCATTCCCACCCGTAGCCACCCCTCGGTCATGAAGAACGAACTAACTTTGCCCTCCGACGGACCTGCTATCGGGTCGTGGTCTTCGCTGACGCTGCCGGCTCTTATTCGTGCTGGTATCGATAGGCAGGGATCACAGCACCCGCGTCGCCCCAATGGGTGGTCATCCGTCGGATACAGTCCACTCCCCCTGGGCCATCCCTTCTCCGCTTCTCCGCCCCTCTCCTCTCCACTAAGACAGAAACGCTCATCGCTTCGCCCCATTACGTACATCAATCACACTTAGATCCTCAACCATCTCCTACAACGACATATATATATATCCCGCCCAATTTCCCTTGAAACCTTGTCGGTTCGAGGGGGAACACCCATACGTTGGCCACGCCGCACGTGCAAGTACCATACACCTTCCCAGATTCGGACAAGCCGACTATAGTGACACATGTACTACTGTATTCCCATCTTAATATCCTTGCATATCTATTGACGACCCGCAATAAATTTCTTTCGAACAACGAGCAGAGATAACCGCTGTCTATGACCTGAAATAGACGATGAACACGCCCTCGGTGTTAAACCGGTATTATACTACCATCCAGGCAGGGACGGCAGCAGAGCCCATGAGAGACCGATGAGCGAAGCAGAAGTACTTCCTGAGCTAGCTTCATATGGAACAATGAAGGACTCATACAGTTTTTTTATTCAAAAAAGCCGATGGTTAGAGAAAGGCCGAAGAGAAAGTAGAAGGCAACAAATTATTCGAGCCGGCAACTACATGAAAACAGGCGCCAAACACTTAAGCCGATCATAGCACAGCCACACAGTGTTGTCATTGGCGCCCACGCCCAACTTGAACTCAAACCTCATCGATTTACACTCAAGTCCAGAAATTTACGAATGCTACTTTCTGTGTATCCACGTTTGCCAATACCGAGGTTCTGCTCGACGATATTCTTCCATATCCGACAGGTGGCAGGTCTCCACTGAGCCCTCTCGCCAACATGTCAACCGCAGGGCTGCTTCGGTAATCATCATAGTCAAACAGGGGGTGACTAGTGGGAGTCTCTCCAAGACTTTTGTATGCTTTCCTGAATTCCATTCTCGAAATTTAAAAATATTACTTTGATTCAAGAACTATGAGTGTGGGATGCATACTGTTGAGAATCCACGCTGACGACATCCTGTCGGTACTGCGACAAATTCATTCGTAATGTTCATTGTCCACATGAACAAAGAGCACTACAAAAGGTTAGATATGCAATGAGGTGTTGCCGGTAGCGAGGGTGACACAGCAAAACTCACATCATTTCCATATATCCTCGGAATAAATATCTAGGAAAAGGGGCTCGGCAATAGAGCAAAGGCCAAGCACTGGCAACGGTACAGAAGATGAGCTAAATAGCTGCACAATTAGAACGAGCTGAGCGCCAACACAAAGGAGTTGAATCGGGAAGCTGATGACTCGGATACGCTTGGGGCATGCAGCACGCGATACAGATGGCATTTCACAAATGAATGAGAAAAAAATAAGAGCCTTCCCAAAGCCTTTCAAATAAAAGCATTTCATGTACAAACAGCAGAATTATTGGTTTATTCAATATTACGTTCATCACCGTTGCCTCACTCAGTCAGATCCTTTTCCAATGTGTCGAATCTTCATAGGCATGGTCGGTGCGACACCGTTGATATCCGTCGTTGGGGTAGTAACGAGCCCCATATGCCAGTGGATTTCTTTGTCCCCGAGCGAAAACTCGATGTCCCTGAGGATGGTCGCAAGAACCGACTCTGGGGGGCATATCGTTTGAGCCATGACCGCTATGAATGAGAAAGGAGCTCACTCATTTCCAGCTGGGAAAATTTGAACCCTCTAGAGTTGCGAATGCCGATGAGCAACTTCCGAAGTGCGAAGGGGCTAAGAAATGGGACCTACATGCAAGAATGACCACCCGATATGAATGTCATCCTATTCTTTTATCAGAAATCGTTTGTGATGTGCACAAATAAAGAACTAGCTCACAAATGCGAATAGATTCCAGGTACGCGCGCTTTGATCAAGGTCTCGGGGAGAGGCTTCAACCACCTCTCTGGCTTCCACTCCAGTACATCTGGACCCCACAGGTCCGAGTTCCGGTTGGAGCCTAGGATGGAGACGAAGATATGCGTGCCCTTCGGTACCGCGAGCGAGTGAATGTCGGTGCCATCAATGCCTTTGATGGGGGTGCTCAATGGTATTATCGTGTCAGCGATCGTCCTTCGGAGCCGCGTGAGCAAATCAGGAGGACGATCAAAACTCATATGACGTACACTCTGTCGACTTTGGTCACCGGAGCGTACCTGCATCGACATCAACCCGTCAATGGACGTTCAAAATCTTTGAGAGTGTTGAAGTGTGCGTACAAGCGAAGGGTCTCACGGCAGACGGCGTCGAGATAGGGAAGGGCGACGAGCGTGTCGTGATCCGGGTCGAGGCCACCATTCTCTTTGCATGCATCTCGAATTTCCTGGCGAAGCTTATCCTGGACGTCCTTGTGCGTCGCGAGCAGATATAGAATGCGACTGAGGGCAGACGACGTCGTGTCGACAGCGGCAAACGTGATCCCGCTAGAAGAAATGTAAGCAAGGGCACTCGGGCATAATTAAGAGGCTTCGAACTCACATAACTTGTGCAAGCAGTTCGTCTTCCTTCATCCGTTCTTGCTCTGGGGCGAACATATTCGCTCTCACTATCCGCTCCGTCAGCTAATGTCGCAAAAAACACGAAGTGGCCAAAGAAAAAGAAAAAAAAAACGCACACAAAGCACTGAGCACGTCCTTGCCCTGCCCAACCTGGTCTTTCACGGCCTCGTCCCCAGCAGCGATGGCCGCCTTCTTCTCCGCCAGAATTTCTTCTGCAGTCTTGCTCATGGTGTCTACCACGGACTTGAGCTCGATGATCGACTTGGCCGGTATCAAATCGACTAGGAACCGCCCTAGACGGGGCCAATGTTCGAATTTGCCGATCAGTGGCATGAGCACCCGTCGAAGGGGCGGGATGGACGAGGACAATGGGCTATAATGGCGTGGGTGTCAATATTGCACGGCGAAGAATAGAAATACGATAGATGGAGTGGGAAATGAGTACGTACAAAACCACCTTCGCGGCGACTCCGAAAGGATGGGGCTGAGCATCCGCGGTCAGTGTATCAAACGAGGTGCCGAGGCCACTTTGCCCTATGAGTTCCAGAGCGAGGCGGGACATCCACATTACAATGTCGACCTATCAGACCCCCGTAAAGTAGCGCTCAGAGAATTCTGAAACGGGGAGAAAAGTACCTCTTGGTCACCCTTCTTCCCGAGCTCTTGGAAGCTAGCATGCAAGCGGTGGCTAACTTCGTAGAAGATATTTACTGCGTATGATTTGTCAGGAATTCCAAGACTCCGTCTTCCTTAGTTTACACTTACCCATTTCACGCAGATGGGCGATGGAAAACGAGGGGGTGAGTAGCTTCCTTTGAAGACGGTGCCTTTCGCCTTTGAAGGTAAAATTTAGCGATGAAGGACGGCTCTGACATCACGACGACGTACCAACAGTGGTGGTGATTCCTGGTCCGAACACCATACGTGCCGTTCTACGGTGGACACAGACGGTGAGGGGCCCGAATGTAACCTGGATACTGTTCGACATACTGCACAGTGTCTTGACTCTCCTCATAGAATTGTTGTTCCTACAGGACTATCCTTTCAATAATTTAGAACGTAGAATCGAAGCGGCCTGCCCACCTTAACCAAAATGTGGTGAAGGGCTAACGGATCGTAAACATAGAGCGAGGTTGCCTGTGGAGTTTTGCTATAGATTTTCAGCGTTTATAATATAGAGCATTCGTACCCCCAGAAGACCCTTTATTTTGATCACAGAGCCATCTTTCCTTGCTTCAGCATACACTGTAACTAAAATGAAGAGAAATGGATATCTCACAGTTATCTTCGAGTTGTCGATGAAACTCCCATCCGCCGTTCTTGTCGTAGATATCGTTGTAAGAACCTGGCAGTCGCATGAGAAAAGGCCGTCATTATGAGGACAGAGATTTATACTTTAAACACTTACCTGTCAAGAGGGATTTCGCAGGAGGTCCAGGCAAATTACGAAGACCTTTCGGCGTCCAAAATCCTCCAAAGAACTTGAGCAACGACCACGAGACGTAGAGAACAGCGAGGCCACCCAGGACCTGGTAGGGAACTGAAGAACTCGGGGAAAACATGTCTGGGTTTCTGTGTTGCGGACCCGGAAAGTGCCCAACCTCTGTAAATATAGAGGACGAACGAAACGAATGTCGTAAGCAACTCTGACGAGAAAAACGCGACGCGGATCAGTACAGTACTAGGACGCAGGCTGAAGGATGTCCCATTGTGTTCAGAAGTGCAAGGAAGTCCCCACTGCGAGTGCTTCTCTGTGGAAACTGTAAGAGGTATCTTCCCATCGGCCTCGTAAGAGGATTGGCTGTTCGTCCAGGTTGGCAAGATCGTGAGGTCCCCTCGTATATATGCTTACTGCAAAGAAAGCCTTCGAATCGTAGTAGCTTGGAGTAAAAGAACGTGCCGTTGAGATAGCTGGTGTTCCAACGTCTGCCAAGGGATTCTACGCCGACACGGCAAGAGGCCTACAGGCCAGAGCTGGGAAGGACCATCGAATTCGACTGCTACCAATGAGAAGCGCGTGAGCACTTGACGTCCAAGGATCACTGCAAGTGGACATTGACAAAGTCTTCCGTGCTTCGACGACGACCATTGTTGGTAGCGGCACTGGCTACGAATTCGAAGTTGCGTGATTTGACGACGGCTAGGTGAATGTCCGACAGGCAGTCCGATGCTGACGTCAAATGCATAGCTGAAAGATTCAGACGTACAGTATAGTAGGTGACCAATAACCATGAGTGGTGGCTTGTGGGGTATCGCGTGTCTTGGCTTGGACAATACGGGTGTGTCATCATGTCGCATTTGGAATATTGCGCCACTGGGCGAGAGAACATCTCATACGCGAGTCGGAGGAAGTTTGCTTCGTGTAACCTCTGAGGCCATTTAGAGAACTGGAGGGCTTGTGCAGACCGGTGTGGTGCAGGAGTGCAGACTCGAGTCCGGCACCAACAGTGCATCATGAGCTTCGACGTGTGCATTTCTGACATGCTCGTCTTGAGCTCGTTAATCGCGAGGAGGCCGACTTTCGAGAGGACATTCCTATGAAGCTCAACATGTTCCAGGTATTCAGGCCGCGAATTTGGAGGCTGTAGAGAGCCAGAGCTTCACACGGGGAGAGAGGGGTCCTGGAGAGAGTCGGCCCATGGTCGAAGGATGATATTTGTCCCTTGTTTGTCCCTGATGTTAGCATGGTTAATTCTTTCTCACCAACCTTCGTCTTTGTAATTCATGCCGTCCACTTTCTCATCAGAATAAAATCAGTAAAAATGTATAAAATGCATCCAATAACCAAATGAACACTATCTCAGTCCCAAAAGTTGAATTTTTAAAAATCTGGGTAAGTAGGGCTTCAATTTAGTGAATGACTCAGATTCTTTTTTTTTTTTCGGTGTTCATTGCACCGGAAAATGACAACCAAAAAATGTGCGAGGTCTTTCTCGTCGCCTGAGTGAGTATTCGAGGAGAAGTGAACCGTTGTGGTCACAAACTGACAGGAGCTGCCATCAGCTGTCTTAATCATTGGCCATTAGCTCCGCGGTGCAGAAGGCTTCGACGCAGCTCTCCTTTTTGCTCGTTTTCCATTATCAGTGGTGATGATACAGCTTTTTCTCAGTACATTGACCGCATATATAACTCATTTTTTTCTAGATGGCCAAGCGCAGATCTAGCGCCCAAAAGGCACACATAAAAAATCTTGCCACAACTCGGAAAGGCCATGCGGCGTCGGCTACGCTGCCCAGCTCCGCGTCGAAAACTGGCCAACAAATCGAAAAACAGAGGCTCGAAGATTTGGTTTCTGACCAGGCTCTCAGGATGCAATTTCTTGAGGCGGCCTTAGAAGATGCCGAGACAAGATCTACCCAATTTGCCGAAGAACTCCAGGAGTGCAGTGACATCAACACGGAATTGCACTCAAAACTCAATTCTCGCGACGCCGCCATTCAGAGTCTTGAGGAACGACTTTCGGGAACCATTCTCGAGCTTCGAAAGGCCAGAAAGCGCACGGTTCGGCTCACGCGGAAGCGCCGTCAAGCCCAAGAGAAACATGCCTTTCGGGTTCGTGACCTTGTCGCTGAGGGCAACAGTTTGCGGCAGGAGCTGCTGCTTCAAACGCGCGAGCACGAGAAAGTTGTCCAAGAACTCCGGCTTACTGTCAAAAAGCTGGAATCGAATTTGCGTCACGGTACGAAGGCCCTCACTACTACGCGGCTATTTGAAGACGCTCATCGCCTCGATATGCATTCATAGGATACAAGCTCGTCGACTAGTACAACAACTGCACCTGAGAACAGTTATCTGTTAACTTTGAAATTCCTCCATCCCACAGCTCAGAATCAAATAAAATTTGTACATGACATCTACAGATGATGAGATAATTTTTAGAACGCTGGGAGAAGGATAGCACAAAGATTACGTGCTAGGAGAGCCTCAGAAGTTCGTAGTCGACACTTGCTCGACGAGGTATTCGCTCGCGGATGGGAGGTCGAACGAGCGTCTGACGTCTACATATGAGTGGTTCTGACCAGAAGCGCCGGCCAAGCACCACCGGATCAACGGGCCGTTGATGCGTATCCGCCATCTCGACTGTACAGGACTGTACTTAGCACGAAAACACGACACAAAGCAACAATATACGACTAGAAATGTCCACATTCCATAGGTACCGGTCTGATAATTTATATGTCTAAATCCCCACCCGCGACCCTTTACTCCCTAACGCCTCCCACCCTCGCCCAAAACATATCCTCGCGCAGTCGCACGATCTCCCGCCATGCGCGCTCCTCCCACGTCGCGTCGCCGACATACAAGGCATTGTCCCGCTCTTCCTTCTCCTTGCGTTCTCTCTCTTCCTGGGCTTTACCTTCCTCTTCCTCGGCCTCCTGAGCGCGTCGGGCTGCCTCTTCCGCTTCCCGTGCGCGGTGTGCTTCCGCTTCGTCTTCCTGTGCAGCTTTGGACTCGAGCGCGGCGAGCTCTTCAGGGTGCATGCCCTCTGGATCTTCCGACCGAGAGCCGTTGACCTGGACCTCCGGGGCAGCCAGCTCGGGCGCCGGCTTGGGCTGGGGATCTTCCTCTCCCTCGACATCGAGCTCGGTGGACGTATCCTTAACCGCACCGGCAGAGGGTTTGTCAACGACGACGATCGTCCGTGTGTCGTCCTCGTCGTCTGCTTGTTTCTTCTCCTCGTCCTTGGGGTCCTTCGTCTCCGCCGCAACTTTTTCGTTATCCTCCTTGTTCTCATCCTTCTCCTTGCTCTCGTCCTCCTTATCCTTCGACTTCGCCTCACCTTCACCCTCGCTCTCAGCGTCGACGAACACGTCCGACGGCGCGGGGGAGGGTGCTGTCGTGCGATCGGGTAAGGTGGGTTTCGCCTCCTCTTTCACCTCTTTCTCTTCCACCTTCTCTTCCACCTTCTCCTCGTCCGTCTTCACCTCTGGCTCGACTTCCTTCACCGCAGCTTCCTCTTCTGGTGTGCCCTCCTCGGCCTTTGGTTCTGGCTTGACCTCTTTTACGACGCCCTCTTCTTCCAGTTTGACCTCCTCAGCCCCAGCCCCAACACCAGGCGTCCCAGGCCTCGATCCTTCACCTACACCTCCACCAACCACCCTAGCTCTCGCAGCTGCCCTCCTCGGTAGTGGAGGCGGTGGCGCAACAGAAGTACCAGAAGTACCAGGTGTCGCAGGACGCGATTCGGGCAGAGGTACGTCCGCCGCTCCTTCTACCGATGGCTGTGGTTGTGGTTGCGGAGTAGGAGTAGGAGTAGGAGTCGGTCGACTACGCGGTGGTATCGGCGGGGGCGAAGCCGCTCCACCTTGCGAGGCAGAGCGAAGGTGGGCTCCCCTGATGGGCGAGAGCGGGGCTACACTGGGTTGTGTTGTGGGTACAGGAGGAGGCGTTTTGGGAGGCGTGATTGGTGCTGCTCCCTCGCCAGACGCACCCCCGGCAGAAGGACCAGAGCCAGAAGGATTAGAGCCAGAGGCGGAAGGCAGAGCGGGCACGGAGGTAGGAGAAGGATCAGGAACAGGCGTTGGCGTTGGCACCCTGCTCCGCCCCTCGCTCCTCTTCGGTAGTGGGGGCGGGGGTGGTAGCGGGGGGTTGCCCGCGGCCGCGGCGGTCTTCGGAGGCGGCGCTGGCGCAGGTTCAGAGGGAGGAAGAGGTGGCGGGAGCCTCCTCAGCGTGTCCGCATTCGCGATGCTCGGATGTTGCGGCGGAGGTGGGCCATTCACAACAGCGGGGGTGGAGGTCGACGCCGTGACCATCGACGTCCGCTTTTCCTTTTCCTTGTCGCCCTCGCCCCAGCTCACCGCCCTCTCCCCAATCGCGCTCGCTATGCCCCACAGCC